AGAGCGAGACTCCGTCCCCAGAAACATTTGTAATCAAAACTCTCACTTCTTCCTTATGAGAAATACTAGAAATGCAGTAAAACTATATAATTGCAGGATTAAATGGAATATTTTCAGTTGTATTTTTTCATGTCAAGCATTTTAACACAATTCTAAGTAAGTGATTTCACAAATGATACAAAAACACCACTGGAATGGGGATGGGACAGACACATGATCAGGACAGCAACCAATGCCTGTGCCACGGTGGCCACCTCTGGGTCCTCTGCGGTCACCTGGAGAAAGGACTGCTCTTTAAAGCAAACAACAATAATCCTTGTAACGGGAACGCCTAAGCCCCAGGAAGTCACATTCTTAAACTCAGTCTACACTGACTTTTATTCTGGAAAGATCTGTCTTGATCGGGTATAATTCCTTCTCAATTATGGCAGAACTGTCATGATTTGTAATATGCTTTTTTTAAAAATTAAAAAATAAGCCCTTTATTTTGATTTTTAAGGAAAAAAAAAACGAGCTCCTGGTTAGAACACGGTGAGTTACTTGCCTGTAATGTGATGTGCTCTTTCCCCTTTTACTTAACACATTATTTATTCTAGAGCAAAAAGATTCTTCTTTTTTTTTAAATACATAATTATGGTATCCACCTCTTAAAAAGTGTTGTCGTAGCAGTCTATTAATCTGACAGATTTTAAAGATTGTGCTCCTGGGAGAAATGATGAAGAGAAACTGGGGTGTTAATTAGGCAGATTTAAGCCAGAGATGTAACTAGTGCTAACAGAGTTTATAATGTAGAACGCCTCCATCTTCAGCCCGAGAGTGGATTTCCTTCTGCTATGATTGCAGTAGGATTCTAATTCATATTTCCTTTCTTACCATGTCTCTTCCTCTTAAAATTATCCAATAGATCTTCTTTGCATGTAAAGTACCCTAAGTATTGAAGTCTTCTAATTTGTTTTTTCTTTCTGTAAAGCACATTGAAGCCTGCTTCCAGATATTTTGCACTAGCAAATACAGATTTTCTAGCAACAGGATGCCTATTTAAAATGCCTGGATTGGCCGGGTGTGGTGGCTCACACCTGTAATCCCAGCACTTTGGGAGGTTGACGTGGACAGATCATCCGAGGTCAGGAGTTCGAGAACAACCTGGCCAGCATGATGAAGTCCCGTCTCTACTAAAAATACAAAAATTAGCCAGGTGTGGTGGTGCGGGCCTGTAGTCCCAGCTACTTGGGAGGCTGAGGCAGGAGAACCTTTTGACCTAGGAGATGGAGGTTGCAGTGAGCCGAGATCATGCCATTGCACTCCAGCCTGAGCAACAGAGTGAGACTCAATCTCAAAAAATAAAAATAAAAATAGTTAAATGCCTGGATGGATTTAAAAACAATAACAACAAACTTGACAGAATTTTTTTCATCATGAAAATCTATGTTTTGGAAAATGTACGTTGCATAAGCAAGTGGATAAACTTCAGAAGTGAGAACTTACCCAGCACGCCCTTCCCCTGGGGATGGTCCAGGTAGCAGACTTGCTGGGGCTGTGCCAGTTTTCCACATCAGGGCCCTAATAAGTTGAATTCACCACACAGGTAACTTTTACTAACCATGAAACACTGAAGCTTATAATTGATTTACTTTAAAAATACAAGTTAGAGAGCATTAAAAGTAATGCCTGGAATAGCATCATGTCGTTGTTTTCCCTTCAAGAAAGGCAGGGAAATGCCACATACAGTGTCTAAACTCTGCCTCACCTTTCACCTGCTCATACTGCCTGAGCCAGTGATCAGTCTAAGGAAGCGGGTGATCCTTTTGACAGAACAGTTGTGAGAACTGGGAAGTTGCGTTGTGCTTTACGTCTCCCCAGAGTTTTATTTGTCAAAATCTGGGCATGCTGATGGTGGTTGTGCATGAGAATATATTTGTCATGAGTTGTGTCTCCCTCCCCCGCCTCAAAACCAACAAAACCCAAACAAACAAAAGTCAGTGCTTTGAAAGATGCTGTCGACCTTTAATTAAGCAAAATCAAGCTGATTACCTTTAGTAGTGGTAGAATTTTTGCTAGTGCTTCACGTTTGGTGCCTGTCTCTAGAAAGAGCCCCGTGAAAGACAGAGTTGAGAGTGCATGGGGCGCATCTCTCTGGTTTGCAGAGGGAGTGCGGGTACCTTCTCAGCTGTCTCACTGACATTCTTCCCTGCCTGTCCTCCCCATCCCTTTAGGGCAAAGAGAATGATGGCAGCTTCTCTGAGCTTTGTAACCAACTGCAAGTGAGGAAGGTCCTGATAAATTTGTCAGACTCCCTTTCTCAGACCAGGGGTATCTGAATGAATAATAGCAAGGAAATAAACTCAGTCATGATACGGACAGCATCCTTATAACCCCAGCCCAGCACATCCAACACAATTGGGTCACTCTTAAAAACAGCAACAACTACAGCAACAAAACTTCAAGCAAATGTGCCATTAAAAACTCTTACATAATTGGAACAGATTTGAGTTTCCTCTGGTTCAGGTTTTCTTGCCTCTTTGATAATCAAATGATCTGAAGAAAGGCATAGAATTTCAGGGGAGAATCTGCATGACAGGCTTACAATAAGGCTATTCATGGAGACTCTTTTATTAGCTTACACAGGATCTGCATCATTCTTTGTCTCTGGCTTTGCTACAAGGCTCCATTTAAACTTAACCCAACTTGCAGACTTAACTGATCCAGGAATGACTCAATACAATGAGCCAGCTACTGTAGCTCTTTTTCCCCCTTTGATAAGGGGAGTTAACACAATGGGCTTTACAGTTCTTAAATGACTGATTTTTTTTTTCCCCGTCTTTGAGATGTGGTGCTTATGCGACCTTTTGTTTCTTTAAAAAGATTCACATGGTTTGATTATATTTTTAAAAAGTATAAAAAAATCCAATATGGGCTCCCTACCCTTACAATAAAACTTTAAAAATCTTGTAGATAATATAGATGCAAAATTCATGTCACACTATCCACACAGCTGATTTCAATATGTTAGATGTTATTAACTATTAGCATTATTCAATTAAACTTGAAAACATTTATTTTTGAAGGGTGATTCTGATATAATTTCTAGTAGTACTTCAGCATTGAATTTCACATCTGCACAATTCTTGTTATCTGCTAGTGTTTGTACTGTATTCATGACCTAATATGATATGTAAATTTAACATTTTAGTGAAATTGATCAGGTGGTTAGAGACCATGAGATGGCTGCAGTGCTAATAACCTTCCCATTTCCCATCAGGGCACCTTGTTTATCGCTGAGTAGTTGGGATGGAGAGGAAACCCTTGAGGATGCATTTCGTGGCACACTGCACCGAGAGCATTAAGGACTGACACTTGGGATACACACCTCAGAAGAGTGGTTCCCAAACTTTAGTGGGAACAGGAATCATCAGGGATGCTTGTTAGAACTGCAGATGCCTGGAACCCACCCCCAGAGACTCTGATTCAGTAGGTCCGGGATGGGAGCCCAAGAATTTGCATTTTTAACAAGCCACGCAGTTGATTCTGATGGGATGGTTATTGCACCACACTGAGAGTCATTCTCCTGAAGTCACTGGGGCACGTTGGGAGGCCCTACCTCCTCCCCTGCAGCACCTGTTGCCCCTAGGTGAGCAGGGACCTTGGTTAGGAGTGACCCCTGGTGTGATCCCAGAGGTGCAGATGTCAGGAGGAGAAGGACAGCTCTAGTATTTCCAAAGTGTCAGAGCAGCTCTTGCATCTTCCCCCTGGTCTGCTTCCATCCACAGCAGGGCAGTGTCCTCTTCATCCTCATGTGGCAGGGAACACGCCTCGCCTGTGGGCCAGTGCTGAGTGTTAGAAGGTGTCATCTCACTGTCACTCTAGCTTTGTAATTAGAACTTCAGAGTGGTTGTTATCTGCAGTATTTAATCCAAATTTGCATCTTTATCCCACTCCCCTACCCCGATTAACGTAGTTTTGGATTTTTGGAAATGGAGATCTTTTTCAAAAGGATCTCCAATTAGAAATGGATTCTCAAGAAGCCTTTTGGGAATTATGGATGTAACATGTTTGTTCATTTCATGAAGATGAGATTCTTCCTTAAAGATCTGTTGATCTGATGGTCAAAGCAGATAGGGAAAATAAATGTTGATGATAACTACTGATGTTTTTAGCAGTTTGCCTGGGGTGCTGTTGTGTGTTTTGTTTGTAGAATCCACCCCCATATCGTTGGCAGGCTTTTTTATTATGAGAATTTCCAGGCTATTCAAAATTAGAAAGTACAACAAACTCCCATATATTCATCACCCACTTGCCAGAGTTATCAAGATTTATCATATTTTCCAGCAGCATTTTCTTGTCCTTAAATCTTGCTGGTGGATTTTGTAAGGCAGAACAAGTAAAATCTTTTCTTCTCCTATGGGAAGGTTCATGGCTGAGGACCCTATAACAAAAGATAGATAAACAAGAGAGAAACATACAGATGTATTTATTGTAAGTTTTACATGACACAGCAGCCTTCATAAGGAAGTGTAGACCCCAAGACACAGGGAAACCTCTGTATTTTTATGCTTAGGTTTGATAAAGAATGGACAGTCTTTCAGAGGTATGATAGGACAAAGGGGTGTGATCTAGCTGGCATTAAACTAGAGGGAAGTTGGCAAGGCCTGTTTGTTCAGATTCTCCCCTGTGTCCCTGTGTCTTCAGAGACAAGGAGATTGTTTTTCTCTGGGTGTAGGGAGGGTACCTCTGGTATGAGGGTCTTATGACCTGCTTCAAGGGAAGGGCAGAAAATTCTCTTACAGCCTGCTTTAGGGGAGGAGAGAGCAGAAGGTCAGAGGGACCTCCCTGCTTCAGCTGTTTTCTCAAATGCCAAATTGCCATATTTTGGGATAACATGTCCTGAACCTCATCATTTTCAAAGTGGTTCATTTGAGGAATGAAACAAACATGAAATGCTTTGCTTGGGGCCTGACTGAGTCGAGTGGTCATGAATAGTCATTTCAACGTGTCCTTTTCAGGAGTGTGTTCCAGAAGACCTAGAACTGAAGAAGAAGATTTTTGCTCAGTTAGATTCCATCGTGGATGATCGAGTGATCTTAAGCAGTTCCACTTCTTGTCTCATGCCTTCCAAGCTGTTTGCTGGCTTGGTCCATGTAAAGCAATGCATCGTGGCTCATCCTGTGAGTATTTTAAATCTGGAGGATTGATTGTATCTCATTCTGTTTTTTTTTTTTTTAATTTTTATTTTGTGGGGGAGCGGGCCAATAACTTGTGAGTAATCCATTAGTCTTTTAAACTGCTTTATTAAGATATGATTCACTTACACAGTTTGCCAATTCAAATTGTGCAGTTCCGTGGTTCTTATTGTATTTACAGAGTTGCACAATACCAGCATTTTAAAAAAGAATTTTATCCCAAAATTCCTTGGATTTATATCTGTGTACCTAACGTGCAACGGAATAGAGTGAACAACGCTTTGAGACTTTCACCCCCAAGTAACTGTGTAGCTGAGGAGGCCAACTAATAAACAAATAATTCTACTATCAATGTAAAAGTGCTGCATCAAAAACATATACATTGTGTAGGATTCTATAGATATGTCACTTGCACGGTGTAGTTTACTCAACACAATTCAGAGTAGGATCCATTTTGTTAAAATGTTAAAATGGGTCCTGCTCCTGAGATTCTGACTGCAGGTCTGACTTTAAGGACTTTTTTTCCCTGTGTGGTTCCCTTCCACCCACTCACTGTAATTAACTGTGCAAGTTTATTTGCCAGGAGTACATTATGAGGTGCTTTGGACAGTAAGTTTCAAATTGGCATGCAAGCACTCAAGGAATCTTTTAGCGGTTAACGTATTGAAGTGAGGAAAGGGGAATGAGGAGACTCAGTGAACGACATTTGAGCCCCAACTGTGAGCTCAGTGTGACCTTGGAGAACCAGGACGCCTGTTCGAACGGGAAAGGTGACTTAGCTCAAGCTGTGATAACTATAATAGTACAAAATAGTGACCACACCTTTGGCATCACCAGGTTGTCAGAGGTTCAGATCAGGGAGAAGCAACACAGAGGGCCCAGCCTGGCTAGGAACTGGTTGGGCTGATGAAGGGATGAGAGGGTCCGAGCCTAGGGAAGAGCATAAGCAAAGACCTTGGGCCAAGGACCCTCTCGGTGTGCAGAGTTGTGGGAGGCCAGCCTGGTGGCATGAGCACACATGCCTTGGTGCCATGGGAGAACACTGGAGGGCTCAGTAATGGTTGGGTCTGGAGAATCGTGAGCGTTACTCTGAAGAGCTGGGACAGACAGCTTGGGTCCGGAGCATCAGTGTGATGTCGTGGAAGTGCTGCTTGGGGAGGGTAACATGAAGGTCCTTCCTGGGATGAAGACGGGTCAGAGAGGGGAGCAATGATGTCACAGCAGTCGGGCAGTATTCCGAGCATGAGTGACCAGGGCCTAGGATCAAGAGCGGGGCAATTCCTCTTTCTGAGCAAGAGCCATTTCGAGTGTGGAGCTAATCGCCTACCAGATCTGTAGATGCCCACCAGGTTTTGTGTGCTAAGAAGAGCAGCAACTTGGAACACCATTTACATAGCTGCATGGTCCTGGGAGATTCGATGGAAAGAATGAGGAATGGTTATAAAATAAGGAGGCTGAGATGCATAAAAATAGAAGAGAACCCGTAACATTTGGTCACCACTCAAATATGAGTGAGATTAGCATTACGAGGGACCCTAATTGAAAGCGACTCCTGAGAAGCCTGCCGTGCCTTTGCTTTGGTGACATACACACGTCTGCAGAAAGGGCTCCTGGAGGCCTCAGCACTTTCTAGGTTGCTGCTTGATTGCTTCAGTGGAAGGGGTCAGCCTCCTAATTTCTAGCCCATGTTCTTGCTTCTAAGTTAGTTCAAAACAAAACTAATCTAAATAAAGTTGTTCAGAAAATACCTCCTGAGTTCTTTGACGAGACCTTTACTGTGTCTCTTTAATTTTAAATTGCCAGATGGGTGAGAGGACACTTGAGTCACTCTCTTCTCCCTCACACCCAACCCAGTCCCTTGACCAGCAGGAGTTGGTAACTGTTGAATAATGACACTTCTCTCCCTCCTTCCTACTCTTGTTCCATCCCACTATTGCTCACTTATTTAATGAAACAGCATAAAGTCCAGACCTTATTTTAAAAATTATTCTTCCCCTTTGGGAGGCCGAGGCAGGTGGATCACGAAGTCAGGAGATCGAGACCATCCTGGCTAACACGATGAAACCCCGTCTCTACTAAAAATACAAAAAATTAGCCGGGCGTGGTGGCGGCGCCTGTGGTCCCAGCTACTCGGGAGGCTGAGGCAGGAGAATGGCGTGAACCTGGGAGGCAGAGCTTGCAGTGAGCCGAGATCGCGCCGCTCACTCCAGCCTGAGCGACAGAGCGAGATTCCGTCTCAAAATAATAATAATAATTTAAAAATATCTTCCTTATTGTTACAAATTCTTTTTAAACAAAACCCATGTTAATTAAAGCAAATCAAATAACCCAAATTAGCCATCTTTGGACTTTTCCCTTTCTTTCCTCTATGTTCCAGCTGCCCACCTCTCTCTCTCTCTTTTTTTTTCTTTTTCTGTGGCTCTGTCGCCCAGGCTGGAGAGCAGTGGTGCCATCATAGCTCACTGCAGCCTTGAACTTCTGGCCTCAAGCAAGCCTCCTGTCTCAGCCTCCCAAAGTGATGGAATTACAGGAGAAAGGCACCCCGCCCGGCCCCACCTCTTGCTCCCCCCACGGGACCTCTAGGGGACTGGACAGGCAGTCCCTACAAAATCAAGACCTATTTGTGATCTCTGAGGAACCCCAGTTTCCACGAAGCCCCCCCCCCCTCGTGGCCAGCCAGGAGCCCACCCTGCGGCCCCCAGTCCCTGCTTGGGGCCCTTTGTTTCAATCATTAGTGATTTTTGCCTGGGCCGAAAATAGGATGAAGAAAAGGGAGGCTTGTTCATGCCGTGACAAAAGTGGATATTCAGCGAATTGGAAAGGTTGCTTCTGCCTCCGCCCATACAGCGAAGCCTGCAGCCCTCGTGGCACGGCCACGGCCACGTGTTCCCTGGGGCGGGGCCAGACTTCCGGTCAGTGGATTGGGAAAGGCGCTGGCCAGGCGGCACGTACTCCCAGCGCAGGAGTTGGGGCTGGGTTTTAGGGTGCGCTTCCAGGACTGGAGCTGCTGATGGCCACACTGCAGGCCCAGGAAGAGGGCTGTTCGCGCAGGCCGGCTGTGTTCTGCACATTTTCTTCTCCTGTGTCATTTGTGTTGTTTCCTCGACTCCTCGTGGCAGTGACTCCGGAATTCCCACGTGGAGGGGCTGGGGGAGGAGGATGTGCCGGCTGGGGCCTGTCGGTGACAACGGTGTGCACGTTGCATCGCAGTCTCAGGCCTTACTGAGCTCTAATGAGCACTGACAGAGTGGCAGTTTTCTACTGATAGTTTCGCCACACTTTACAAAGAAGCTCCCTCGGTTTTTCTCCTCCTTAGTTCACTCTGGGAAGACGATGGTCCGACGGGGCTAGTGGGGGCTTCGAGCCCACCAAGTACTGTGCTGTATGGACGGGTCTGCCTGGCAAAGGGGCCGCGGCTGGCAGACTGGGGCGTGCGGTGGGCGTGGGGGGAGAGGCCACCAGTTAGCCCCGTCCCCCGCCCCAGCCCGGGTTTGGCCTTTCCGGACTCACCTCACGCCTGACACTGAAGCCATCTGCCCTGGTGTTGGTGGTAAATATTGGACCCCATAGGGCTTGCTGTCTGCCAAGCGCCCGTGCTGTGCGTCCCTTTGCACATGTGCGCGCCCCTGCGGCCGCTCGGAGCTGCCTTGGAGCCTCCCTGCGAGCGCGCGGCGGAGGGGATGGGCTGTCCACGGAGCACTGAACACCGAGGGCTGGCAAGTCTGCAGCGCGGCGGCCTCCCGCGAGGGCGCTGTCGGCCCTGGGGTCCTCGCCGTTTTGGTTGGTCCCGGCGCGGGGGGGAAGGGAGTCTGCGGGCGGCGGCGCTGTCGGCGCGGTCACACGGCCCCGCGCGGCGGGGAAGAATGCGCCCCTTGTGCTCCGCGGCCTGTGCGGCGCTGCCGTGGTATCTGTCTAACTCTTTCGGGGGCGTTTTCTCAGTCCACCGCGCACAGTCCCACACGGAAGGTTGGGGGCGGGGGAAGCTGCCTCGTCTCCTCGCTGGTCTCCTCCCCTCCCCGCTGCGGTGGTCAATTCAAAGGGCACCTGACCTGATGGACAAGATTGACCTCTTGGGTCAGAGGCCGAGGGCTGAGGTTAGGGAGACTGTCCCAGCCAGGAGACCCCAAGGTCCTTTTGCGGCGACTTCGGCAGGTGGACACGCAGGTGTGGATGGAAGTCGGTGTGGATGGAAGTCTGTTTCGGGGGGCTGGGTGGGGCCCCAGTCTCTGGCCTCTGCATCCTACTCAGCCGCGTGCCTTGTTATCGTGGGTGCTGGGGAGCCCTGCAAGATGTTTCGCTGGAGAAGTCATGAGCAAAGTCCTGTTTTTTACTTTTAAAGTTTGTAACTGTGGTAAAATACACATAACAATCTACCGTCTTAGCCATTTCTAAGTGTGCAGTTCGGAGGCATTAAGGACATTCTCCTTAGTTAAACCACCACGACCAAGGATCCATGGAACTTTCTCGTCTTATAAGACTGCATCCCCTACCCATGAAACCCTAACTTCCCACCACCCCACCCCAGCCCCTGCACCCAGCCGTTCTGTTTGCTGCTGTTGTGGATTGGATAGGCTCCTGCCACGACACGGATTGCTCTGGGAAGATGAGATAGAGGGGCTGAGACACCAGCAGGAGTCCCATGAAGGGAGTGCAGAATCTATTTGGAAACGCGGGCCCTGAGCTGAGGGTGGCGGTGGCAATGGTTTTTCTGAGAGAAGAATGAAGAGAAGTAACAGGACTATAGTAGCTGATGGTGTGTCCGGAATTGGTTCTTGCCGGTGGGTTCCTGGTCTTGGTGGATTGTGGTCTTGCTGACTTCATGAACAGCAGACGTTGGTGTTGAGTGTTACAGCTTTTAAAGATAGCATGGACCCAAAGAGTAAGCCGTAGCAAGGTTTATTGTGAAAAACAAAAGGACAAAGCTTCCGCAGCAAGGAAAGACACTGGACTTGAGCCCCAGGGTGGGGCGGGGTGGTGATCAGCTTTTATTGCCTAATTGGCCCCGCCCATGTTCCGTTTCTGTCCTATCAGAGTGCCCTTTTTCAGTCCTCCCCGCGATTGGCTACTTTTAGAATCCTGCTGACTGGTGCATTTTACAGAGCCCAGATTGGTGCGTTTTACAATCCTCTTGTAAGACAGGAAAGTTCCTGATTGGTGCGTTTTACAATCCTTTTGTAAGACAGAAAAGTTCCCCAAGTTCACAATTGACCCAGGAAGTTCAGCTGGCCTCGCCTCTCAGTGGAAAGTGAGAGGGGCTAGGGAGAGGCAGGGGCCAGGGACACTTATTCTGGCACTGACTTGGGTGTGGGGATATGACACATTCTCACTGAGATCAGGAACCTCCCAGGGTGGGGGACCGTGGGGGTAACCCGCATGAGACAAGTCTGTGCTGGGATGTGCCCAAGGGAAGGCATCCGGCTCCAGGGTGAGGCTGGGATCTGTGTGACACCCGCAGGTGTGTTCTGTGTCCTCGAGTCTTGGTGGTGACACCAGGGAGTGGGCACAGGTGGGCCACTGTGTCAGGCTGGGGGTCTCCATCACTCAGGGAAAGTGTGAGCATGAAAAATTGCAGAGAAGACTGAGAGGAGGGAACTGGTGAGTTTTAAATAGAAATGCTTTCTAACTCCTTGTCTCCGTCTGTTTTTGCTACCAGTGAGGCTTACAATGTTTGAAAGACCCCAGCCCCAGCATGCCTGCTTTATATAAAATAAAGCAAAATTCATCTGAGAAAGACACACTTCCAGTTCTTCTAATCTTGATTTTTCAAAAGGTCAGAGGTTAAGTATTTCTATAAGAATTCAGTAAGTGACAGGTGTTTAACCGAGACATCGATTTACCATCTGTCTATTTGGAAACAGGAGCCATCTTTTCCTGATTCCTGAGAGGGCAGAGCGGGTGCCCAGGATGGTCCTTATTGCTCCTTCCCTCTTCTGTGGGAGTCATCTTTAAATGGAAGCTTTTGCTCATGGAAGCATCACTGAGCAAATGTGACATTCTACTTGTCACCCATATGGTGGAGGAAAACCCATTTAAAAGCACCATTTGGAGACCAGTTTTTGCTGTGGTATACTTGGTTCAGCGCTCAGGCCAGTCACGTTCTACCAAGCACTGTTTTCTATGGACATTTGATAATTCCCTGTGAGGAATCTGTAAGAACAGTTTCTCAAAGTAAACCAAGAACACAAGAGTTGAATGGTAAAGTCCGGGGTCCTCCCTCAGGGCTCACTCACCTGTACAGTGCCTTCCTGTCTTGGGCTCGTCGGGGTGCTGGGGCTGCTGAGGTGTGTTGATGCTTGTTGATTTCTAGAGCAGGAAGGTGATGTTAGGTTGGAAGAGGCAGACGCTTAAGGTACAATATGGAGGAATTAAGGAAATACCAAGTTTTGGGAAGACACTGCTAATAATTTATTTTTGAGATCATCTGGCACTGTCACTTAGGCTGGAGTACAATGGCACAGTCATGGCTCACTGCAGCTTCCACTTCCTGGGCTTAAGTGATTCTCCCACTTCAGCCTTCCAAGTAGCTGGGACTACAGGTACACAACACCACACCTAGCTAATTTTTTTAATTTTTTGTAGCGACAGGGTCTTGCTATGTTGCCTAGGCTGGTCTTGAACTCCTGGGCTCAAGTGATCCCTCCACCTCGGCCTCCCAAAGTTCTGAGATTACAGGTGTGAGCCACCACACCCAGCTTGCTAATAATTTTTAACACTGACACAGGAGAATGTCAGAGCCTGTGGTGACTGCAGATGGGAAGACATGATTCTCAGGGGGTGGGCTGGGAGGAAGCTTTGAAGACAAGACAGATGGGAGCAGAGAGACTCTGTCCTGGGGAGGCCAGGGCTGTGAAGATTAGCCGTAAACATACAGGATAGCAAGCTGTTCCTCCAAATTCCAACTTTGTATTTTGGGTATTTTTTTTTTTTAAATAAAACCACACAATTCTGCATCAGGTTCCCTTTTTCTCTTTCCTTTGTGAACAAATTTCTTTCTCAAGTATCTTGTTGTTGGCCACTGAATCTAAAGGCACCATTCCAAAGATGCATCTGCTGCTCCTAACCATTCAGGGTAGGTGCAGTGCCTCAAACCCAGGGTCATTTCCTTGACTCCCCCACTTCTCTCTCTCTCCTAAGGTGAATCCGCCGTACTACATCCCGCTGGTTGAGCTGGTCCCCCACCCGGAGACGGCCCCTACGACGGTGGACAGAACCCACGCCCTGATGAAGAAGATTGGACAGTGCCCCATGCGAGTCCAGAAGGAGGTGGCCGGCTTTGTTCTGAACCGCCTGCAGTATGCAATCATCAGCGAGGCCTGGCGGCTGGTGGAGGTGTGTGTGCCCTTCCTCTCTTCCTGCCTCCCTTCCTTGCTCCTTTCTTCTTCCCTTCCTCCCGAAGCTGAGCAGGACAGTGAAAGCCTGGAAGCTGGGAAAGTCAGAGTCTGCTTGGTTCTTCTTGCTCTATTCTGGAGACCAAGGGCCAGCTTTAGAAACAAAATAAAATGCAGCAATTCATTGTCTGCCCGAGAGGTTCTTCTTACAGTCACCTGATACCAGGACGTGATGACAGGCTTCTCTCCTTCTTGCTCTTTCATAGCATTGGACATAATAACCCATGTGGCCCACTGCATTTTCCCACAGAGTCAGCTTTTACCCCTCAGTGTTATAATTTTTCAAGAAGAAAAAAAAATTATATTTTGTGTAAACTTCTGTCTCCTGAAGGAACCTAATTGTTTCAAGAGCTTGAGAAAGAAATGATGAATATTCTTGTTAGAGTAAATGCTTGTCTTACATATAAAGAGGAAATGATATGTAAATATATTTAACATCATCCTCTAATGAAAGGATTTTACATGGAGGTGAGGAAATGGCCTGGCTGCACGCATTCCCGTGTACATTTGCATGAGGGGTCCTGGCGCCTGGGGGAGATAGGTCAGCTGGACCCCAGGACTAGGCGGAGAAGTCTCGGGACCTGGGAGTGGAGCCGTCCAGCCTCCCTGGTGGCACTTGCCCAGCTTCTGCAGGGGGAAAGCAAGACTCTGCCCACGCCTGTGTTGCAAAAACACTGTGGAAGGCTCAAGGGCCGGAAGTATCCAGCTGCACAGCGTGGGGAGGACGCTGCTTGGGCTCGAGTCATCCGCACCTGGCTCCACAGTTCCTTGTTGGGACTCGCACGGACACACACCGAGCCTTGCCTGAGATGGCAGCCAGGAAGCTGACCGTGCCCCAGCTTCCTTGAGTGTTGCATTTCAATTTCCCAGCAGTTCTTCCAAACCAGGCAGGTGTGCGTGACAGATGTGGCCTCCCGCAGCCTGCTGCTCACGTTGGGTTCCCTGTTAGGTTCACTGTCTGACTGGACTGTCGGGTGCATTTGCCTCGATTCTGTGTCCTGATCTTTAAATCCACTTAAGGCTCCTGTATTTTCAAGAAACAGTGCTCGGATTTCCACTGTTGCGGCGGCGGTTTGAATTTCTTAGTAATTTCTTGAATATCAGTCAGTGTCAAGGTATTTTTAAAGAAACACTGATCTATCAGAACCTTCTTGGAGATTTATTTAAAATATTTCCATTTGTCTAGAAAAGAGGAACAACTTTAGACTCCTTGCCCATGTTCACTTGTTGAATTAAAACCTTGTGGGGTTTTACAGGCAATCTCAACTTTTTATTTGTAAGATACTTTAGCACCCTGAGTAAAATCTTGCTTTCTCCAATCTGAAAGGTGTGAGCCCATTCAAGGAAGAGTGTGGGATTCTGGTGTAAGGGGATCGGGGGGAAGGTGTACACAAAGAACTCTCCATTGCAGGAGCCATGGAGGACTCTGGTGTTTCCTTTTGCTGCTCGAGGAGGGCGGGCGGGAGGGGTGAGGTAGGCTGCTCTGGTAGTTCTGCTGACTTGCGATGTCCCCGTGCTTTCGGTTGTCCTGCTTCGTGGTCATGGCAGCCTGAGTGACACTGTGTTACTGGCTAGCAGGAACGTTCTTACTCCTGGCTTTCCGCGGTGACGTGCCTCCTGAGAAAGCGAAGCCTGCGTATGTCTCTGTGTTGGCTGCTGTGGGGACTCACGTGCCTGGAGTCCCTATAAGGAACTGAGCGCCAAAATCTAGCAGCGTTCAGTTTGTGACAGAACAGGAAGAGGTCAAGAGAAATGGGAAACTAAGACAATGTGAATAAAACCCAAAGAATTACCTTGGTGAAAGTCTAGACGATAATTTGTTTCTAAAAATAAGGATGATCTATCTCCAGGTAGCGGGCCCCAGGCAGTTCTAGAAACTGCAGGTCCTCTCCTGGCAGGGTGGGGTGGGAATGGCGCTACCCGGCACCCCGAGCGCCACAGGGATGACTTCCAAGGTGTGAGGGGCTTTAGTTATGGGGCAAGGCTGGCGGAGAGGGAACACGGAGGCGTTTGGGGAGGAGGGAGGGCTTGTCGTGGTGCTGACCTTGACCATCACCGCTCAGTGGCAGCACCTCCGCTGGCCAGCTACTTCAGGAGCAGGGTCACCACCAGCGTGCCAGCACTCCAGTAGCAGGTTGGAGTTTGACCCTTGCTTGGCGTGTTAATTGGGTAGAGCCAGGACGCTTTCAGGGCGAGAGAGGGGCCGGGTGACTTGGTTCAGGGCGCTGGGGGAGCCTGCTGGAACTGGAGCACTGGCGCGCTGGTCATGACCGTGCTCCTGAAGTAGCTGCTGACATGCACTCCCGAGCATCCACGTGGGTACCCTGTGTTCCGGACGGCTCCGGGGCCGCGCGGCAGAACCATGCCTGGTCTCAGTGTGGCCCTGGAGAAATCTTGCCCACCATGATTGTGCCAGCCACAGTGTGCTTCCCACCTAGCAGACAGCGGTGTGCCTGACACAGTTCTGGTGGGTTGTTCTAAGGATTCTTGACTTTATTGTAGGAAAATCTATGCTGCTGTGGCCGGTTTCCATGCCCGATACTGCGAGTCAGCAAACGTGAGCAAGCCTCTCCGGGGCCCCACCTCCCCGTCTCGCAAATCCGTACAGTCGCTCCAAGCCACAGTAGAACACAGGCTGCAGTGACACCCCTTTGACTCACAACTTCCAAGCCCAGATGAACTTGAATTTTCGTTTTGGAGTCTTTCAATAGTTGAACATATATTTGGTGTTTTCCAAGTTTACCTCAAAACTTTCAAGAGCAACTTTTAATAGCAAAAGGAGCGGAACTGGGGAAGTTTCACAGAAGAGACTAAGTAGGCTTGTGCGTGTTTTAAGTTGAAAAGCTCCAAAGGCCTTGCAGAGCTTCTCCTTCTCAGTGAGGCCTGGCGTGGGTTCCATGTGTGGCCAGAGTGCCTGGCCCCTGACCTTTGACTGTAGTGAATGGAATGAGCGTTGGCAGGGGCAACTAGGACTCACTGCCCCTCTAGGACTCACTGGTGTGGGCGCTTCTGTCTCAGGATCCTCTGGGCTCACAAAGTAAGCTGAGGTTCTGTTTGACCCTTGCGTGGCACGTTAATTGGGTAGAGCTGGATGCTTTCAGGGTAGGAGAGGTGCCAGGTGACTTGGTTCAGGGCGCTAAGGGAGCCTGCTGGAAACGAGCTGTGTGCCTCTGTCCAGGCGTGTGGGTACTGGGTCAGCAGGTGAGGAAGGAATGCCGTTCCCTGCCACCCCTGCCATCTGCAGGTGAGGCAGCTCTCCACAAATCATAGGAGAGTGTGAATTTCCAGGGGTCTGACCTCCAAGTTGAGGTAGGAGCTAGAACAGGATGGAAGGACGGCTTGCATTTCCACCCGTGACAGTGTCTTGCTGCTGATGTCAGCGTGGGGCAGAAGAAGCTGCGTTGCCACTCACTAAGTGGTGATACCAAGGGATCCCATGGATTGACTTTCGCGTGTTCAACTAGCCTCGCATACTTGGAATGATCCTACTTGGGATTGCTGGATTCAACCTGGTTATGCTTGGTTGTGAATTTTTTTTGCATCTAAATTCATAGGAGATATTTGTCTGCAGATTTCTTCTTTTTGTGCTATCTTTATTTGATTCTGGTATCAAGGTCATACAGCTGGAGAAGCCCAATGCCTGGGACCAGAAATATTTCAGATTTTGGATGTTTACAGATTTTGGAATATTATATACTTACTGTTTTAGCATCCCTAATCCAAAACTCTGAGATCTGGAATGCTTCAGTGAGATTTCCTTTGAGTATCATGTTGGTGCTAAAAAAGTTTCAGATTTTGGAGCACTTTGGGGTTCAGATTTTCAGATTAGGGATACTCAGCCTGTTCCGGCTGCATACAATGAATTGGGCAGTTCTTCCTCCTCTCTATTTTCTGGAAGAGATTGTGTATAATTTTTGTTAATGCATTTTTAGATATTTGGTAGAATTTTCCAGTGAAACCATCTGGGCCAAGGTGGGGTTCTTTTCTGGGAGCTTTCTCGTTATGAATTTAATTTCTTTAATGGTTGTGGAACCATTTGGATTGTCTGTTTCATCTTGATTGAGTTTTGATGGTTTGTCGTTTCTGAGAAATTGGTCCATTTCTTTTAAGTTGTTAAGAGCGTAAAGTTCTCGGTAGTCCTCCTTTTTGTCTTTCAATGGCTGCAGGGTCTGTGGTGATTTCCCTGGTTTCCTTCCTGAAATTGGTGATTGGTGTCCTCTCTCTTTTTGTCTTTGTTCTCTTGCTAGAGGTTTATCAATTTTATTGATTTATTTATTTTTTTTTTCGAGGAGCAAGTTTTTGTCTCATTGATTTATTTCCTTTTATTTTCTCGTTTTCAGTCTCACTCACTCCGGGACCATATTTGTACACCTGCAGCCAAGCATTAAAGAGACATTCTAAGAAAGGGGCAGGGGTAGCAGGGAGGCTCCCTCACTAGGGGGGTTTGTGGAGGGGAGCCACACTGCCAGCACCATTTCTAGGTCAGAAAGAGAAAGCACTGGGAATGACAAGCATTTTCTTTTCTTTTCATTGTGGCATCCTGGGCTATGACACGCTCCCATGTGCGTCACCTGTAAGTCCTCAGACCTTCGTGGGGTGGAACGGACACCCGGATAGCCAAGGGAATGAAGGAGCCAGGTCTGTTGTGCCATCTCACAGATGTTCACTCCGTTTCTCTTCCAGTTGGCTTCAGATTTGGGATGAAGCAGCCCTGTGGTCTTGGAAATGCCAGATGGACATGTCTGGCCACAATCTACTGACACTTACTTCCCCTGCCAGAGGCACGCTCCCCGGGTGACAGGATCTCATTGGCTGGGATATCATTTCAGGTCACGCTCCCCGGGTGACAGGGTCTCATTGGCTGGGATATCATTTCAGGTCACGCTCCCCAGGTGACAGGATCTCATTGGCTGGGATATCATTTCAGGTCTACATTTTTAAGGCATTAGCATAATGAAGGACACTGTGTTGTGACAATAGACTTCTGGCTGGACAGTAGCTGAGTTTGTTGCCTGTAAGTTCTTTCCCGTGAGGACAGGGTATGTGGAGGTGCCTGGGACTGAACCCACAACCCTCGCAGGTTCTCAGCCCGCTGGTGTGAGTTGGTGGTGATGAGCTCCGGAAATTGCTGACCGTGGGTTCTGCCTGTCCTTCGGAATGAGGCCATCCCTGTGCTGTCCTTAGGGCCTGGGCTGCAGAGACTGAGTGCTTGGTCTCTTGATTTGTCAGGGCGGGTGTGGTCTGGGGCATCTGGATGGGGCCCTGAGATTCCAGAACTTCATTGCTGAGCTTTATTTCAGACACGACTGTTAGGAGACATTGTTTTAGTTAATGAAGCGTATCTCAGAGATCGTGTAGTAAAATTGGCAGATGAGGCTTGTTGTGGCAAACTTACTCAGAGGTTTCTGTTGAATATCATTGGTATGCAGATACCACGTCCCTGGCTGTGTATGTGTCTCTATGTGTGTCTCTTGTTTCTAACCCTTTCTCTCTGACCCCAGGCTCACGATAGATACATGTGCAGCTAGCCTGGCGCGGTGTCTCACGCCTGTAATCCCAGCACTTTGGGAGGCCGAGGCGGGCGGATCACAAGGTCAGGAGATTGGGACTATCCTGGCTAACACCATGAAACCCTGTTTCTACTAAAAATACAAAAAATTTAGCCAGGCGTGGTGTGGTGGCAGGAGCCTGTAGTCCCAGCAACTTGGGAGGCTGAGGCAGGAGAATGGCGTGAACCTGGGAGGCAGAGGTTGCAGTGAGCTGAGATCGCACCACTGCACTCCAGCCTGGGCGACAGAGCGAGACTCCATCTCAAAAAAAAAAAAAAAAAAAAGATACAACGTGCAGCTCTAACCAGCTTCTACTTAGTTGGAGATTCTCATGTGGTCACTATGTAGCTGTGATTCACAGTCCTAGTTTTAAGACACTGAATACCTCTGGTTATACCAAAAGATGTAAAACTTGATTTAAAAAAAGTAGCTGGGCAGGTGGCATACGTCTACAGTCCCAGCTACCGAGGAAGCTGAGGCAGGGGGATTGCTTGAGCCCAGGAGTCCAAGACCAGCCTGGGTAACATAGTGAGACGCTCTTTTTTTTTCTTTTTTTAAAAATAAAGATAGACTTAATTCACTTTTAATTAAAAACACAAACATATTAGAACGAATGAACAATACGTTGTAACTGCACAGAGGATGAGAATCACTCTCCCAAATCAAAAGCTCACCCAGCCAGACCTGCCCCGCGTGGAGCTGATGGAGAGCGACGCCCCAGGGCATCTCCCTTGTCATACTGCTTGCATGCTTAGCATCAGCCACCCGCCTCCAGCCGTTTGACTTCCTGAGCAGGGATGCAAATTGTGATTAGGTTTTCCTTTTAGGAGGTTTTCCTTTTAGGAGTCATGGGCCTGTGTGGGCAGAAGCAGGTCCCTCAGGAGGGACACCCGGAAACAGCCCTCCCCATGACTGATTGTAGCTGACTGCCTGTGCTCGGGTGTATCCGCCTGCCGACTGTACAGTGGGGCCTCTGTGTACCAGGGCCTGGTCTCGAGCTGTCGGCCGGGTTTGCGCGTAATCCGCTGCGTTATGAACTGTTATGCTGCAATTAGAATGTAAATCAGCAGCTCCTTGGCAGACTGGGAGGTTACACAAAGGGGAGGCGAGGGCATGAACATATTCTGGGGGGAAGATGGCCTAAAATGTTTACATTTGCTGCTGTAACTACCTCTTACATTTCTCTCACATGCGCTGTGTTCACTTGGAGGTGAATGGTCCTTTGATTTCTTCTCTCCTCTTACCAGCCAGCATTCATATGGGTCTGGTTCTCCACCTCTGCCTGAATTCCCAGGAAGTTGCCTTCTCACCTATTTCATTTTCTGAGCAGGAAGCCGTCTCAGCAGGCTGCCTGCGTGGCCTGTCCTTTTCCGGCAGTCCAGGGAGGCTCTGCCATTTCACTGAGTGGCTTTTAACATCATTGTCAACGTGAGCAGGTGCCCTGAGACCCTGTAACAGAGCAAGGCAGGCCCACTGATGGTTACTCAGATGCCGACTCTGGAAGAGAATCGGTACAAAGCAGGGGCTCCAAGGAGGAGCAGAACCGGGCTCCACCATCGTTTCGTAGGCTTTGAGGTCAAGGACAGGAACAGCAGTCTTGTGGCTGGAAGCAGCAGAGCTTGACAAGAGGAAGCCTGTGCGGAGCCACTGCCAACAGGAGATGGGGTCCTGCTGGCAGCTTTTCTGGAGAAGGACGGTGTTGGAAATGAACTGCTGTGGTTTGCTTCAGACTGTGGTGCACCCGGAATGTGTCCGGGGGAAAACGTTGAGGCTTGAGTAAAATAGCACAGCGCAGACACTGGTGACATATGTCTGGTTTTGGCACAAAGTCACATAGAGCGATGGGCCCAGCGTATGGGGAAGTTGGGGGAGCCAGGAAACAGCCAAGTCCGGCCTCTGCGCCACGCCTCAGCTGGAGGGGTTCTACATTTTACTTAGTTGAAAACTGAACCCTGAGAGTTTAGGATATTTTTAAGACACAACATTTGAAGCATCTGAGTGAATCGCTGATGGGGCTTCCAGAGTTCCATGTATCTCAGCGCTGCCTTTTCTTCCTGCTGCTCTGAGGCTCACATCACCCCAGAAAGGCTGTGTTCTCCCTCTGCGGCTTTGCCCTGGGCTAGGCCTGTGCGGGCTGTTGTTTTTCTCCCTGAAAGCATCATTATATACATAGTGTATAATGTGCCTCAGCCTCCCAAGTAGCTGGGACTACAGGCACATGCCACCACGCCTGGCTAATTTTTTGTATTTTTAGTAGAGTTGGGGTTTCTCCATGTTGGCCAAGCTGGTCTTGAACTCCTGACCTCAAATGACCTGCCCACCTTGGCCTCCCAAAGTGCTAGGATTACAGGTGTGAGCCACCGTACGTGGCCTTAATTGGGATTTGTTTTTCTAGCAGCAATTTTCCATAAGAAGTAGACTTTTTATAGCATTATTTATTATTTTGTAGGTGGCCATTTTCTGAGTAATCACATTGGTGAGCAAGAAAACCCTATTGAAAAGAGAGATACTGCTGATTTATGAATTTAGAGATACCTGATACCTGTATTGCCATTAGCAAGCAAATAAATAACATCAACCACATACTCATTAAAAATCCCCAAAATGCCGCAAAGCTTCTATGTTAGTATTCGAACTCTAAAAAATAAAAATAAAAATAAATAAATGAAAATGCTCTTGCTGTAACACCTTCTAGCAATCATTACCAATAGGTGCTTGAGCAGTAAATATAAATGATGGATTTCAGCTCCCTCAGTTTGAAATTGGGAAGTTAACAGGCCAGGGGTAAGGGTCACTAGAAGTAGAAGATGGGGGTGAGGAGTCCCCAAGAGAAAAGGCAAAAAGAAGGGAGGCGGGAGGTGACAGATTACACCGCATCCCTCTTCCCTTGTGGGAGCCAGCCTTCGTGCCTTCCATCAGCTGCAGGTAGAAGTCAGGTGAGGCCACTGGAGCCCCGTGGACCATCAAGGCTGGACATGTCTCTGGGTAAGGATGTGGGGAGCAGGCAGATATGGGGCTTGTGTTCCATGGCTGTTTTTGGTGTCAGGGCTTACACTCTTTGCGTTAAAACTTATTGTAGTAAATGGTATTCCCAGAGGAACCCTCAATGAACGTATCACTGCCCTCATAGAAGGGAAGTGAACATACTCACATTTATACACGATGGATTCTTTTTGCTGTTGTATTTGTTTTAAAAGTCGAGGCCTTTCCTTTCTTTCAGACTCTGTAATACTGTTGTTTTTCCCCCGAAAGCATCATTATACACGTAGTGTACTAACAAAAAGTGCACCAGGAATTAGCACTGGGGCCTGAAGTCCTCCGGAATGCCCCTTTTATTAGGGCAAAGTCTTTCCTCTCTTTCCTTTCCATTTTTGTTGTTGTTGTTGTTGTTGTTTCTATTTAAAAGCTCTATTTTAGGCTGGGCAAGGTGGCTCATGCCTATAATCCTGGCATTTTGGGAGGCCAAGGCAGACGAATCACGAGGTCAGGAGATCGAGACCATCCTGGCTAACACGGTGAAACCCTGTCTCTACTAAAAATACAAAAAATTAGCCGGGCGAGGTGGCGGGCGCCTGTAGTCCCAGCTACTCGGGAGGCTGAGGCAGGAGAATCGCTTGAACCCGGGAGGAGGAGCTTGCACTGAGCTGAGACTTTGCCACTGCACTCCAGCCTGGGCAACAGAGGGAGACTCTGTCTCAAAAAAAAAAAAAAAAAAAAAAAAACAAAAAAAAAAAACTCTATTTTAAAGAAAAGTCAAAGGGAAAAAGACCACCTGTGTTTGCTCTGCCCTAATTCAAATTGCCGTCAGTTTCCTTTGTTCCTGTCTAGTCTCTATTATGAACATGCTGCTCAAGTTTTTATTCATTCTTAATGGCTTTATGGTATTTCATTTAGCTGGTCTTTTTTTTTTTTCTTTTAAATCCAATCTTTCCCTTATTGGGGGATGTGTTAAGGTCAGGCCTCGGTGAGCCTCTCTGCCCAGGTGGTCTCTCCTTCTGAAGTCTTTTCCAGAATAATTCTGGGAGTGGGCTTGCCCTGTGGGAGAGGAACATTTTTATGACTTGACAGGTGTAGCTGAGATGCCCCCAGAGGGGAGACCCGCCTCTCCTCCGGCAGCTGTGCACGTAGGCTTGTTCCCAGCAGCCTGGCCGGGGTGGTCCACCCGGTGTTTCTCATCTTCTTTCCCCGGAGCGCTGACTCCTGCGCGTCCTCTTGGAAGGCTCTTGACAGGACGGGTGTTTTATGGGCGTGATTCAGTGTCCTCTTGCATCAGTTCAGTGTGGTGGTGTTCAATCAACCCTTGTAGCGTTAGCAAAATTTGCTCAAGTCATTCCGCAGGAATGTCTGTGTCTTGCTTCCAAGAAAGCTTGTAAGTGCTGGCAACAGGCCGAGCAGCTCCCAAACCTGACCACAAGCCTCTGAGTAATTGTGGGGCAGCACTTAGCAGTCTTTTATTTTCGACTTATTAAAGTCCCATCTCGGCCTCACCTTCTCCCTGGAAGGTGGCGTGGGTGGGGACCGCTGGGTCACATCTTTTCCACCCTTGCCATGGAGCCAGTTTCCTGCTGCATGTGGGAGAAGCAACATGTGGTGAAGAGCATAGAAAACGGAAACATGTGGGTACAGTGTGTATAAGTGGAGGGAACAAACTCACAATTCTGGCTAGTTTCTCATGAGAGTCTCATGAATCATTGTGATAGTTCTCAATATAAACTTAATCTAGGCCGGGCACGGTGGCTCACACCTGTAATCCCAGCACTTTGGGAGGCTGAGGCGGGTGGGTCACTTGAGGTCAGGAGTTTGAGACCAGCCTGACCAACAAGGAGA